AATACAACAAAGATCACCATTGTTTATTGGTATATTTCTTTTTTTGACTAGGTTTTCCTATTTCTCTAGAAAGGGTGGTAATAGTTTTTCCAACTCTTTTATAAAGATGGTTTATGTCTTAGTAATTGTTATCCTTATCCCTTATCACACCCACTAATATTTGTTAATATAAATATTTACAGCCATCCACAATATACTAATCTTTATATTTCAGGCTAATATTGAAATAACACAAAATTATAATTTTATAATGCTACCCCATAAACTGACTCTGCCTCACAGCACCCCTTGATAGGGCCTTATAATCACTAGGAAAGTACAGACAATCCCACTAACATATGTTCATTCACAATGCCATCCACCAGAGAAAAAAATTTGTTCCAAATATTCCATTAAATAAAAACTATAACATCTTTTTTTTATAATCTGATACTCTTTTATGTACTTTTTAAATTATACATGACAGTGGAATATGTATTTTAACATATCATACATACATGGAGTATAAATTCCCATTTTTGTGGTTGTACATGATGTGGTACACTGGTTATGTATTTATATATGAACATAGGAAAGTGATGTCTGATTCATTCTACTGTCTTTCCCATTCTCATCACACCTCCTTTCCCTCCACTCTACCCTGTCCAATCCCATGAACCTCCTCTCTCCCACCACCTATTGTGAGTCAGCATCCACATATCACAGAGAATATTTAGCCTTTGATTTTGGGGGGATTAGCTTAATTCACTTAGCATGATAGTCTTCAGTTCCATACATTTTCCTGCAAATTATGTAATTTTATTCTTCTTTATGGCTGAGGAATATTCCATTGTGTATATATACCACATGTTCTTTATCCATTCATCCATTATGATGAATTCATAAATTCATCATTAATTTATGAGTTCTAAAAGTTTTCTAGTGGCATTTTTTGAGTCTTCTAAAACCTAGGTTGCTTCTATAGCTTAGCTATTGTGAATTGAGCTGCTGTAAACATTGATGTGGCCACATCACTATAGTATGCTGATTTTAGGTCCTCTGGGTATAAACTGAGGAGTTGGATAACTGGGTCAAATGGTGGTTCCATTCCAAGTTTTCTGAGGAATCTCCATATTGTTTTCCATAGTGCTTGCACCAATTTGCAGTCCCTCCGGCAAAAATGTATGAAGGTACCTTTCCCCCCACATTCTCACCAACATTTATTGTTACTTGTATTTTTAATAATTGCTGTTCTGACTAGAGTGAGATGAAATCTCAGTGTAGTTTTAATATGCATTTCTCTAATTGCTAGTGATGTTGAACATTTTTTATTTGTTGACCATTCGTATTTCTTCTTCTGTGAAGTGTCTATTCAGTTCCTTTGCCCATTTATTGATTGCTTTGCTTATCTATTTGTTTATTTATTTTCTGGTCTTAAGTTTTTTGAGTTCTTTATATATCCTGGAGTTTAATGCTCTATCTGAGTGAGGTACAGGTGGCAAGGATTTTCTCCCATTCTGTAGGTTCTATCTTCACATTTTTATTTCCTTTGTATGAAGAAGCTTTTTAGTTTGATACTATCCTATTTATTGAATCTTGAYTTTATTTCTTATGTTTTAGGAATCTTGTTGAGGAATTTGGTTCCTAAGCCCACATGATGGAGAGTTGACTCTACTTTTTCTTTTAGTAGTTACAGAGTCTCTGGTCTAATGCCTAAATACTTGATCACTTTGAGTTGAGTTTTGTGCAAGGTGAGAGATAAGGGTCTAATTTCATTTTGTTATACATGGATTTCCAGTTTTCCTGCACCATTTTTTGAAGAGGCTCTCTCTTCTCCAATKTTTATTGGTAGTTCCTTTGTCTAGTATGAAATAATTGTATTTATGTGGGTTTGTCTCTATGTCTTCTATTCTGTACTATTGGTCTTCATGTTTGTTTTTGTGCCAATACCACACTGGTTTTCTTACTACAGCTTTGCAGTAAAATTTAAAGTCTGATATTGCAATGCCTCCTGCTTCACTTTTCTCACTGAGGATTGCTTCAGCTATTCTGGGACTCTTATTTTTCCAAATGAATTTTATAACTGGTTTTCTATTTCTATGAAGAATATCACCAGAACCTTAATAGGAGTTGTGTTAAATCTGTATAGTGCTTTTGGTAACAAACTCATTTTGACAATATTAATTCTGCCTATCCAAGAACATGGGAGATTATTCTGTCTTTTAAGGTCTTTTTTAATTTCTTTCTTTAGAGTTCTTTAGTTTTCATTGCAGAGGTCTTTCACCTCTTTTGTTAGATTTATCCCCATGTATTTTTTTTTGAGGCTATTGTGATTGGGATAGTTTTCCAAATTTATATTTCACTTGAGTCATCACTGATGTATAGGAATGCAATTGATTTATGGAGCTTAACTTTATATCCTACTACTAAGCTGAATTAATTTATAAGTTCTAGAAGTTTTCTAGTGGAGTTTCTTGGGTCTTCTTAACATAGAATCATGTTATCGACAAATAGGGACAGTTTGAGTTCTTTTCTTATTCATATTCCTTTAATTTCTTTCTTCTGTTTAATTGTTCTGACCAGTGTTTCCAGGACTATGTTGAATCGAAGTGGTGAAAGAGGGCATCCTTGTCTTTTTCCAGGTTTTAGAGGGAATGCTTCTAATTTTTCTCTATTTAGAATGATGTTGGTTGTGGGTTTAGCATGTATACCTTTTACAATRTTGAGGTATATTCCTACTATCCCTAGTTTTTCTAGTGTTTTGCACATGAATGAATGCTGTATTTTGTCAAATGCTTTTTATGCATTTATTGAGATAAAATCAAACACTGTAACACCTTTTTGCATTCAGATGAACATGGAAATATCAAATTCTCCATTTMAAATAAAGCACTTAGTATTATCCCAACTTTTGGTATTTAGTAATATTTTTCACATAATTTCCACCTTTCATTTCAAAGTGATTCTGTTATAGATAGGAAGTATTTGTAAATTTTTATTTTTTCATATTTCAATAAACCGATATTATACTTTGAGTTAATGAATATGTTATGAAACATCACATTGTAAAATAAAGGCATCCATTACGAAATCAGTGGCACAGTATCTAATTATTAAATTCCAAAAGTGCAAACAAAATTTACAAGATAGTTTCATAAGTGAAGTTGGGTGATTTTGAAAGGAAAGAGAATATAACAGAGGGAATGAATTTTAGAATAAGTGTCTAGCTGTCAGTATGTAGTTTACTTATAAATCCAATTTAGAATAGAGTTTCAGAAATGAAAAAGGAAGCCAATTTTAATCAAATATGTGAAATCTAAACATTTTAAAATACACTGTTAAAACTGCTATATCTCCCTAAATTTTGTCAGCTCCAGATTACTAMCTGAATAATTCCTTTTTTTTTCTGTCCATATACAATGAATTCCTGTGCACATATGAACATATAGGAACACAGTGAACAAAAAGCCAAATTTCTAGCTTAATTATAAAGTTCCTCTTGTTGATTTGTCAGACCCTTTAAAAGATACTATAGATGACTGGGGTTGTGGCCCAGTGGTAGAGCGCTTGTCTAGCAATGTGAGGCCCTGGGTTCGATTCTCAGCACCACATGTAAATAAATAAAATAAAGGCCTATTGACAACTAAAGAAATATTTTTAAAAATCAATGGTGTATTAAAAAAAAGATACTTTAGAAAAAAATCTGGCAGAAATTTTTAGATATTCTTTTTCAGAGACTACTTTTGAAACAGATCTAGAAAACATGTAGTCTTGAGCATAAACTATAGGCCTATTTCTAATACAGTATAAATATAGGATTTAATTTTGTAAAGTGCTTTAAATTTGATTTGCCCATACCTTATCTACTTGCTACCTGTTAAATTAGTCTCAATTTATATTAAATAATTCTTTATGTTTATTTAATAATATGCAACCCGTTTTGAGTTAATAACCTGCTTATGTTACATGTAAGGAATCTTATGTTTAATTAATTATGTATTGAGATTATCAGTAACAAAATTATACATTTTCAGTGATTTAAAAATGCAACAAAAATGGAATTCTGCATAATTTATAAACTTGTAAAAAAATTGGTTCTCACATCTGAGTGACGTAAAATATTCTCCAACATTATACAATCGCTAAAATGATACATTTAGGACATTTTTCAATTTCTGGATTGAAAGATTCAACACATTTTAGAAGAGCAACTGATTCATCCAACAACATAAATTAGCTTGRCTTTTAATAAAAGACCATTTTTTCTTTGGTTAAATATATATACATCATAATCTGTAGGTTCAAAATATGCAATGAAATATTAACTTTAAAATTTATAGTCAATTCTGAAATTTCTTTGCCATTGTAAACAACTACAAAAGAAAAGATTAAACTTGGCAAATTTATAGCCATTAAAGGAAATTGATAATCAAATGTTACAATTTCTGTCAAAAGTTTATATTTAGAACTTAATTGTATAATAAAATATCTCAAAAGCTTCCTCCTGAAGTCTTTATTGAGATTCATTTGCCTTTTCAAAAATCTTTTGGCCAATTAGATATTATTATCATTATTATCTTAACAATTCATAACTCTAAAAAGTTCACTGTAGTTAGTTTAATATCTTTGATATTTTTATATTTTCTCTGGAAAAATTTGCAACTATTCTACAAAATAAAAATAGGATGATGGGCTGGAGTTGTAGCTCAGTGGTAGAGAGCTTGCCTCACAGATGTGAGATCCTGGGTTTGATCCTCAGCACCACATAAAAATAAATAAATAAAAATAAAGATATTGTGTCCATCTACAACTAAAAAACTATTTTTAAAAAATAGGGTTATAATTTTTCTTGGAAACATTTATTCTGCTGAAAACAGTCACATAAGAAAGTAAATTGGTTTACACTTTGTATAATTCTAAAATTTTTAAAAAGTAGTTTATTTTCAGAACTGTTTTTTGCATTGTACTATTCTGGTTTTTTGTTTGTTTTGTTTGCTTATTTATTTGTTTTACTTCAATAGCCTTTTATGTCACCTCGGTACCCTGGAGGTCCAAGGCCCCCATTGAGGATACCTAATCAGGTAAGATTTGTGTGCTACTTAAGTTTTTTTAAAAAAAATGGATAAAGATCTTGAAAATGTCACAAATATTTCTTATCAGATAAAATATAAAATTATCCTTTCTCTACCTCACTTAATGCTACTTCTAGTAATATATAGTCTTCTTCAAGGGTTTCTAACTATTGCCTATAGGCTATTTTTGTAAATAAAGTTTTATTAGAATGGTACCACATAAATTTATTTATGTATTCTCTGTGGCTACATTTACACTACAGTACAGATTTGAGTGGTCATGATGAGACCACATTTGGTTTGCAATGGTAAAATATTTACTGTCTGGATCTTCACAGAAAATGTTTGTCAACCTTTGGAGTCTACCTTATACTTTGATCCTAATTTTAAAGATTTAGATAATTTTGGTAAATGCTGATTATCCTTTCATTTAAAAGATGACAATGAATTTTCAGTGAATGTATCTTGGTTTACTTTCATATAATATAGCTTCAACATCATGGCTCTAACACTCGTATAAATGTTGCCTAGTTATAATGTCATCTCAGGCAAATAATTAGCTACTTCTAGAAGAGTTAGATTTATTAATAAGCAAATATTTAACAATAAAGCTTCCAATTTTAATCACAAGAGCTCTGAAGTTCCACAATAGTTTGTTCTTATTTTTAAAATCAATATTTATCTACTAAGGAGAATAAAATACAATTTTTACTTATGGAGTTGTTGTTTACTTGAGGATATAGRCAGTGTGCCTATGTGTATATAATAAAAGCAGAAATTAAGTGATGGTATGATATGTTTATATGAAAATAATTTTCACAAATAATTGTCACATTCTCTAATTCTGTTATTGTGTACTGTAGTAATATTCCCAATATAAAGTAGACCCTCTTATCACAATAAATTCCTTTTCATTCTTATTCTCTTTCCTTTTTTACTTTTTTCACTATCAAAATGGAACAAGGTAGTTAGTTGCTAATTCACTTCATAGTGACAAAATTGTGCTTCTCCATTCCAAACTTATGCTGAAATTATGCTATGCCTTTGAAGTTTCCCAATACGCTGCTGTTCTCCAATCCTAGTGCACAGCCAAGTACCAAGACCCCCAWCCCAAGGGAGAAATTTAAGCAGAAACCATTGCTGGGTCATCCCATGTTTTGATGCTTGCCACTCTTCACATTAGCAGCTGAAGCATTTTTCTCCTACAGACTGAATCCACAATTCARTACATGGGACCAGGGAATGATCCATGAAGTAAAAAAGAGAAGTACACAAATGCTTCAACATACGGGAATTAATATTTTCTCTATGGGTGAACCCGTATATATTGACAATCATATCTACCTATAGAGTTGTCTAAGTATTTTAAACTTCTTTTTARAGAATAGAAATTTGCATCTTTTATGGAGTTTACATGATGTTTCAAATACCCTTCCCTAGCTTTTTTGTATAGCATAAGTCTAGGAAGTTCCTGAAAATGTGAATTAGCAAAATGTGAAATTTTTGTGTATTACCAGAATATTTCCAATTCTATATATTCTGTAGCAGTGATGAAAATGGTTTTGAATTATGCATTGAATAATTGCATTCATTTAACATTGTCAAAATGCCTGACATTTGTAAGATACTGTGCTAGGTTTCGTTTCTATAGAGGCTAACAAAATTGAAGACACACTTCTAAGAAGAGGTTGTTGGTAGGAATGTGAAATTGTAAATCTAGATTGTTTGACATTTTTTAAGAAAAACTATGTAATGTCTTTGGAATTTTTAAGGAAACGTTTTTAAAATTTGAAGATAATAAAGTTATTATACAGGCTGTCTTTCTTCAAAAATTTTAAAAGTCTTTACTACCTAAACATRTTTTAAAACAATTCTTCTCCTCTATGAGTGGCTCTTTTTTGTTTATACCCACCAACTCATACACATATTTAGTTAAACTTCAGTAATCCAGATATCTGTTGTCCAAACTTAAAGTGATTATATTTATGCTGTTTTTAAATACTCATGTTAGTACTTTGAATAATATTATTGTAGAAAATTTTTAATCTATTTGGAGCATGACCCTTTCAAGCTCAAAGATGATTCTTCTCTTTCATTATGTAGTCATTAAAATAGAATTGTCAACTATTTTGTTGTCTAATTAGAATGATATATCAAAATATTTTAAATTTAGGTTTCATTTAAATTGATCATGATTTAGTAAAAYTTATATATTATTTCTAAGAAAGTAGGAAGTGAAATATTAACCTCTTCAGTAGGATTGACGATTCATTTTGAATATATGAAAGATATATCTTTAATAAACATACCCTTTACAACTTATAGTTACTAATTTGACTACAGATTTTAATTCGGGATTTTCCAATCTTTTTTTTTATTTCAGTCTAAATCCATAATAGTTTACACTGTTTGTATATTTATAGGACTGGGTGTTCAGAATGTGGTCTGATATTACTATGCTGAAAAATATAAGAACAGGTAACAGTATCTAAAATGTTGAAAATCAAACCACAAAAAAATGTAACAGGGAATAAATATAAATSAATAAATATTTATATGAATAAAAAAAGAAATTAAATCTACAAAATATATCGGACTATACAATTTTACATTGAACTTGGTTCAATTCTCAGAAGGGGACCTTATTGAAGCATAACCTAGAGGAGAACAGGTCTTTATTCTTTTATTCATGGATAAAATATCTAATCCAAAAAAATTCACAGCATGTATTCAACACTATGTTGAAGAATCAAGACAACCAGAAATACAGTGACTGTTAATGAAGTGAGTAATACTAAGATAAACTATTGATTTGGTGATCCTGTGTAATTTTGCAAATTTATACTCTATTTTTCTCCATTCCTGAAAAAAGTATCAAAAATTGAGGTAACATATAGTAAAACCTGTTGTCCATTTTATATGCTGAAGTTGAATTCAATATTCTAAAAACATACTACAACTGGCCATTCTACTGAGACCTTCAAACATATCTGTCAAATAATAGTTGAGTGGTTAAATAAATTATATTTAAATAGTGAAATAGTGTACAATTATTAAAAGACATGCTATAGAAGTAAACATTAATGTGCTAACATGTTTATGATAATACTATAGTATTACCAAATGTAAAAATATGTAATATATAAAAAACATATGTAAATATATCACCTTTGTTACATAAATGTACAAACTTTCTCTCATTCATCTTTACTCCTACCACACATATACTAACATTTGTCAAAAACAACCTGTAAAGACCATATCCTTTATTTCTGAGTAGTAGGATTATGAGTGAATTTTGCTTTTTAAAAATTTCAATCTTTTTTAAGGCTTGAATTGAGCTGGTATAACATCTGTGATTAGAGAAAGATATTATTAATTATATAAATAGATAAATGAAAATACAAATATTTTATTCATCTGGTAATTACATATATATATGATTGTCCTTTGGTAATATTTAACGTACAGTTCCTATTGGTAAAAAGAAAAATACAATGGATGCAAAAGATAAGCAGATCTTAATAAGACTTACTTTTCAGATATGGAAAATATTAGCATGCATTTGAACAAAAAAAATTTTGCTTGGACACTTACTCAGATATTGAAAATAAATTTACCATATCCCCATGCAACCAAGACGTACATTTCAAGCAAAATGCATAGTTATTCTTCATTACATGTTCTATTATTTAAGATAAATAGTATTTCACATGTCCTTTACCAGTAATTTTCTATTTTTAGAAAATTTTTCATATGTAGAATTTAACTTTTATTTAGTGATATCAATATGAAACAAATAAGAGAAATCTGTTCTATAGAATAAATAATAGGAGTCTTATCACTCCAGATAATTTCTAGTTTTAAAAATTAAAAATGAAGTCAGGCATGGTGGCACACACCTATAATCCCAGTGACATGGGAGGCTGAGCCAAGAGGATTGTAAGTTCAAAGTCAGCCTCAGCATGTTAATAAGACTCTGTCTCAAAATGAAAAGGACTGGAGATTTATCTCAATAGTAAAGCACTGGATTCAATTCCCAGTACCAAAATAATAATAATAAATGAAAATTAAATATTTTTACATGTTTAATATAAATTAGTGAGTAGTGTTGCAAAGCATAAAGTAGGTCTCACTTTCTGTCATTAGGAGCTTCTTATTTTTATTATGATGATTACTATTAATATACTTAAATAACTATTTAAAATCCAATGAGACCATATCAAAGCATATTTTTTCTTCATGAAAAAATAAATTTTTAGTTTATGGGTTATGCCACACACACAAACACACAAACATACACACACACACACACATTCTTTCAATTATTTTCTACCTTTATAGAACAAAGTAAGTAAAAAAATTCAGTATGTATGGCAAAATTAATAATAATAATAATAATAATAATAATAATGACCGTCTCTTTCCCAAACCAAGAAAATCTTAGACAGTGAACAGTATATAATCTTACCCAGTTTGAGTTATCTGGAGATTTGTGATATAATATTTAATTTCCATCAAAACATATCTCTTTATTTTAGATTCAAATATATTTTTTTGGATATAGTCCAACCTAAAGAATGCATTGTCACTTATTCATTGACTATTCAAAATCACTCACAGAAAAAAAACATTCAATAGCTATTCTTTGAGGCTTACTATGTACCAGGCACCATTCTAAATGTGGGGATGTCACTGAAYAAACTAAGGAAAATACCCTTTCTTATTAAGCTGATATTCTAATGTAACACCACCCAATAGAACTTTCTGGCATGATGGAAATGTTCTATATCTGTACTGTCATGTGCAATAGCATGTTTAATCACTTGAAATGTGACTGGTATGACCTGAATTTTTAACTTGAATAATTTTAGTAAATTTAAATCAAAATAGTTGCATGTGACAGAGGGCTATTACATTCATCTTCATAGTTGAGTGATTAAAATAAAAAAGTTAAAAATATATATCAAATGTTGACTTATATATAGGAACAAAAAGTCTTACCCTAAATAATATTTCTGTATTTCGATATCTTCCCTATTGATGATGGATTTTTAGAGAAAAAAGAAAATGATGGTAGTATTGTTCAAGGGACCTAGGTGGGTAATACACCTTCAGTCCAAAAACCAGTCATGTATGACTCTGAGCAGGTGACCTTTTAGGCTTTGTTTTTCTTACCCATAAAATGAGAGAATAGATTCAGATGTTTTTAAAATCCCTTCTAGTTCTAACATTTCTTGATTATCTTAATTCTACTTCATATCATATAATTGAAAGATCTATTAAAAACTTGTGATGGGCAATCAGGTTAACTAAATTATATCTTGAAAGCATTGAGAAATTCACCATTTTTTTCATCATCAGAGAGTGTTTAGTCTAGGAAATATATACCAGACCTTAAGTTCCTAGAGGATCTTATCACTGAAATCCTGAGGCATCCTTTATAGATGAAATAATTCTTTTATGAAGCAAGCAGTTCCTCCATTTAATTACTTCTGCTTTGGTAAAATTTCTATTACTTCATTTATTTTAAATCCTAGGGTTTACATTTTGTGTTTCAGTACTTTTAGAATGTGTTGATGTGATAAGCCTTGATTCTACTTACTTATCAATAATTTAGCTGTGAACAAATTTAACAAATCATAATCTTCATCATCAAAAAGGATTAACAGTAATATCCTCAAAAAATTATTGTAAGCATTGATTGAATAAAATAATAAATATAAGGAATTTTGCATAATTCAGATACACTGGCTCACAAGTGTTTATTATCATTGATACTATGCTGTTTTTACATATCCTCATAATTAGTGTTATTTTTCTATGAAAGTAAAGATCTTTTATAGAACAAACAACATGTGCCAAAATTCCAACTAGTTAAACAGGTCTGAATGTAATACATTTAACATGKTACAATTATGGTAAACATCTCAACCACAAGATGCATAAGTTTATTTGTTCTGATATTAAGGGTTTAAGGAACACATCAGTTATTCCCGTTGATGAACAAAGCTGTCATCTGGTTATCTCAAGACTGATAAAAGGTATTTTAAAAGATAGAGATTTGACTTATTCTGAAAGATAAACATTAATGGCTCAAGAATTTATAGAGACTYGTTTTGAAAGACAACTTTACATTGCTCAAGATTTTTATAAGATTATGCTACATTATTAAGTGATGAGTAGAAACAAGAAAGACTTTTCAATTGTTCTGCTATTCTAAGATAAATTAGAAAAAGTAAAATTTTGAAGAAAACCATTACCAGCAAAAATACATCATTGTCTACAATGAAACTTGGAATTAAGTGTCAAAGTTCTTAAGTATGAGAAAACTTAAAAAAACAAGAACTGCAAATTTACAATTGAAAATATTTTGATTAGTCATATATTTCCAATTCTCCTCTTCCCTCATTTCTTTATAACTATTAATGGTATTGGCTTCTTTTTTCTTCTTGAAACTCTCATGTATTCTGAGGAGATACTGATTTTGGTTGTCTTCCTAGTTTTATACCTATTCAGTTTCAGTTTCCTTTCTTACTCCTTTTGGTGCTTTTAAAGAATCAAATCTCCCCTCCCACCTCCACCATACCTCTCCTCATATTGGGGATTGAACCCATGGATACCCTAATACTGAGCTACATACCCAGCTATTTTGTTTTGTTTTTAACTTCAAGACAAAATCTTGCTGGAGCTGGCCTCAAATTTGTGATCCTCCAACCTAAGTCTCCTGAGTTGCTGGAATTACAAACTTGAGCCACCATACCCAGCTAAGAATTAAATATTTTACTTTTGTCTTCATTCTTTGAAGTTAGTTCTATGCTTACAGTTGTATCACTAATTATTTCTAAAATTATCTAATCTAAATTTTATTCCTTAAATAATTATTTATCATTCTGTGCTAGTTGAAACAGATAGGGCCCCATGCTTACAGAGGTTACAGTCTGGAGATAATAGAGAAGAAAATAAGTTATGGTGGTATACAAGTTCTGTAAAAGTGAGGTATATCTTCTAAGAACACATTAAAAAAAAAGTCTGTGCCTTCCCTCCATGCTAGGAAATCCAGGAGCAAGAAAGAGGCTATGAAAAGATAGGAAGTGGCCATTGTGGTTATAATGTGATTTATATTATATACACTGATTAGTAAATAAGAACACATATTGAGAATAATGAAAGCCAGGTTTTCCAGTGTTAGATATTTACAAATGAGAAAGGAAGAGGGCTGACAATAATCTTGAGGTATCTGATTTCAACTAGAGATTATGGATTTATTGTATTACTGAATTTATGGCATACAGATATGCCATATACATACACACAAATAGAGATAAAAATTAGTTATAGATGTACATGAGTATGCATATGTTTGTACCTGTACACATACTTAGATTTTCAAACTCATTGTTTATTGAGAGGGTCTAAAAGTGGTGTTTCCAATTAATAAGAATACTCTGATAATCCAGATATTGATGCCTGATGGCTATCTGAAATACAGGTATGTGTGTATGTGTGTGGGTGCATGCATGTGGACACATATACACACATGTAGATGGATGGATGGATAGACAGACAGCAGACAGGAACAAACAGAAATGGATAATGAGAAAAAGGGTGGAAATAAGACAAATGTGATGAAATATTAACAACTGGGGAACTGGGTCAAATTATATGGTGATTTTATGTATTGTTCAGTCAATTTTTCGTAAGTTTGAAATGTTAAACACACTATATATAGAGAGAGGACTAAACCCTCAGACTGGGGCTGTAGTAGACAATTTGTTAGAAAGTGATCCCAATGCTGAGATCTAAAAGATGTCAACACTGGCCACTTTGAGCATTCTGAGGAAAGATTTTTAAGTTTGATTTGTATTTTGTCTTGTTTTTCTTTCCTTTTTTAAAAAAATTAGTGCATTTGTCTTTTTTCTAATGGTTGAAATTTGGATATTATTGATGAAAACATGAATAGGAGAAAAGGAAATTTGTATAGGTGAAGATTAGAATGTGAATGTGCCAGTGACAAAAAATTAGCCTAGAGAAGTAAGCAAGGAAAAGCTCATAATAGGAACTCTATAATAGATATATATTGGGTGTGCTTGTAAACAAAAAATTAAAAGAATTATGAAAGTGGTTTAAGAAATTACTATTCTTTACTGCATTGCAAATGATAACAATTAAGGAAACAGTTCTTATCTGGTTCTGTAAGTTTATCAATGTTAAATCTCTCTGAAATATTTGAATATTTAACTAAATAAGATTTTCTAATTTTAAGTTAAATTAGCAAATCTTTATAGAAGTTCTCATTATGATGTGTGGATACTCATAGCATCAGCAAATTTAAATCTCTAGTAGGTGGATTCACTTCTACATGCAGCTCAGACTACTGTTAGAAACTTGTGTTTAGTATGTATCCCAGCATAAAGCAAACCTTATCTATTTTGTATTCCAGCRTAAAACAATCCTTATTAATCTTTTTCAGTTCTAGTTTCCTTTTCCTGTCTAACCAAATTGTTTGATTTTTTTTCTTTTTTTATTGGTTGTTCAAAACATTACAAAGCTCTTGACATATCATATTTCATACATTAGATTCAAGTGGGTTATGAACTCCCATTTTTACCCCAAATACAGATTGCAGAATCACATCGGTTACACATCCACATTTTTACATAATGCCCTATTAGTAACTGTTGTATTCTGCTACCTTTCCTATCCTCTACTATCCTCCCTCCCCTCCCCTCCCATCTTCTCTCTCTACCCGATCTACTGTAATTCATTTCTCTCCTTGTTTATTTTCCCATTCCCCTCACAACCTCTTATATGTAATTTTWTATAACAATGAGGGTCTCCCTCCATTTCCATGCAATTTCCCTTTTCTCTCCTTCCGATCTCCACCTCATGTCTCTTTAATGTTAATCTTTTCTTCCTGCTCTTCCTCCCTGCTCTGTTCTTAGTTGCTCTCATTATATCAAAGAAGATATTTGGTATTTGTTTTTTAGGGATTGGCTAGCTTCACTAAGCATAATCTGCTCTAGTGCCATCCATTTCCCTGCAAATTCCATGATTTTGTCATTTTTTAGTGCTGCGTAATACTCCGTGGTGTATAAATGCCACATTTTTTTATCCATTCATCTATTTAAAAAAATAAATAAATAACCAAATTGTTTGAGCTTAAAAGGAATATTTTTCTTAATCATTTCTTAGGTCAAATGTGACCTATTTTACTAAAATAAAAAATACATTGGTCTGTTAGCATTTTAGTCCTGTTTCTATTGAAAAAACAAATAAGTAAAATATTCTATAAAAATAACTCACTGTTTTTAAAATATATATATATATATTTAGTTGTAGATGGACACAATACCTTTATTTTGTTTAGTTTTTTTTTTTTTATGTGGTGCTGGGGATCAAACCCAGTGCCTCACCCATGCTAGGCAAGCACTCTACCACTGAGCCACAACCCCAGCCACCCAAATAACTTACTTGGAAGCTAAATTAGTTATTTCAGTAACTTTAGCAAATTAAATTTTAGAAAAATCATTATACTTCTGAGGAAGAARTAGGATGGCTTTTGTGTAGACTTTTCTTTTCCCCAAAATGCTTATTTTGTTTGCCACAAAATTGGGCAAAGGAGAATCTTTTTAGAGCCAAGAACTTATATTAAGTATATAGAACTATGAAATTTATAGATTACTGTGAAATATAAAAATTTTGAGAAATACTTAAATGCATTATGTAGTTATAGGAATTAAATGATATATATTAAAAGCACTTATTTACAAATCTTTACAATATTTAATTTTTATTTTGTTTACTAAATTGCTAGGCACTTGGAGGTGTCCCAGGAAGTCAGCCATTACTCCCCAGTGGAATGGACCCAACGCGACAACAAGGTGACTAATGTAGAAATGAAAATGAACCAAAGAGAAATTCTTTATTGTTAATGAAATTTTTATTTATTAAGCCTTCCATAATTTTACCAGTTGTAATTTCAAGTAATATGGCTGAATGATTTATATTTTCAACTAGCTTTTAGTTATGTACAATAGTAAGGGTGGTAATAATAAAAAATAGAATACATAAATGTCCAAAATTCTGTATTTTAATTAATAACTTCTAAAATACTTTACACAATTTCTAACAAGTAGGAAGCTAAATTATTATATCATTTATTATTTCTTCTGCCTTTTTCAGATAGAGAAGTTAATCCACCTGAAAGATGGCAGAAGCAAAGAGGATGCTTAGTAATGACTTCATTGGTTTAACATTCCCAATAATCAAGTCCTTCCATAGAGATGTTGAAAGATATTTAAATATCTACAGATATTTAAAGCTCAGTTGTACTATTTTTAGAAAGAGGAACAAATGCTAGGAAAGAAGCATTTCTTTCTACTCGACCTAGAGTAGGAAGAAATTTTCAACCAGGACATTAAGGGAGAATGTGAGTAGGTGACAGAGGTAAAATAGTGACCATAGAAACTGACCACAGAAACCAAAATAAGAGGTCATCAGACACTTGGTAAATAAGATACAGATACACCTAGAAGTAAAGAGGCTAGCTGCCAGTTTAGCACTCATGACCATTACATTTCTAATATCTTCATACTTTTTTTAGGACATCCAAATATGGGTGGGCCAATGCAGAGAATGACTCCTCCAAGAGGAATGGTGCCCTTAGGACCACAGGTAAACCATCAGTGCAGAAAACTCGATGCAGAGCTTTTTTGCCTTTATCTTATATAACAGACTCTTATTTGCTAGTTTTTAGTGTATGCATTAAATTATGATATACTTTGGGGCTGGGAGTATAGGATAGAGCATGCATTAGACTCTAACTTCAATCCTCAGCACATGTACACACACAAAAGTCTTCATATACATAGTTGTCAGGCTCTTGAGGATATAATATTTGTAATATTTCAAAATTGATATAACACCAGACAATATTTTAACAAGGTGCTATCATATGTGTTTTTAGTTTACTCAGGAAAATATACTGCATAGAAATATATTATAGTCTTTATTACAAAAAGATAACTAGTACCCTTTTGCTTAGCATGATAAGGAAATAGTTGAGCTATATAAAGCCCAGTTAATTTAATATATTGAATGGAATAAGTGTAAAATATAAAACCTTTTAAAGAATGTAATTAACAATTTATTATATACAATCATATTTCTTCATTACATTAGAAAACTATTTAGAAACAAACATTATAGTGTGTATTATTAAACAAGGATAATATTTTGGTATATATCAGATGTTACTTGACTGCTCTACCAAAACTTGCCAAAAGAACACACTGAGGTTGAACCTGTCCTAACTGTGGGTAATGTGTTCAGCAAATTTCATGATATTGTTTATTAGAGCTGAAACACCCTTGTTTTGTCCTGGAAAATTTTCTTGTGGAAGAAATTAATTTTATGATATTGTATTTTAAAGAAACTAACCGACAATTCAGACTTTCAAATGTGTATCTCATGGGTCAGAAGTTAGCACATCATAAAGCTAGCTTTTGCAGGTATTATAAATGACAGTTGGGGGAATTTGCTTCATTGTATCTATTTTTAAAGAATTAAATTGAGTCAAAGAATTAAGAGCCCAAAACCCAGATAATGTGACTAAGACCTAGGAGTTCCTAAACAACAATAATATAAACTATATTAAAACACAAAGCTCATGAAACCATATTTCTCAGAGATGCCATATTACATTGAGGGGAAAAAAAACTCATTCTGTAAATGTATGTGGTAGCCCCCAATCAAGAAGAAACCAATTTCATCTAGGTCAGTTCTTACCTAAGTATTTTCTTAAGATTTTATAAAACTTTCATTTAGATGTTTAAATTGCTTATTCCTATTTCTACTTATATTAGAAATGATGATTTATGTTAACCTGTCATTGTTAGGCTACTAACAGCAGTTAGAATTTATAWGAACTATAGGATATTTCATTGACAAAAGGTACTTTTAGTCTTTAAAACTGTACCAACCAATGTGTCTATACAGAACTTAAGGGATCTTTTCCAAGAGATTTTCTTAATTGATTCATTGAAAATAAGCATCATAAACTTCTTGCCTTTAATATAGTTGTCATACTTCATTGTGTCCACGTGTTTTTCAGCTAGCTGCTCTTCAAGCTTTTGGCATTCTCAGACTATTATTAGTATTAGTTTTTCATATTCTAAAAATTATAATTTAAAATGAGTCACTTTTGCAGTGTTTGAAGAGGTGTACAAGTGATATGTAAGCTTGATCTCATTTGAAAATGCAGATATAAAAAGCTTATTGGTCTCTATGCTTTATGTTATAAACAGCTATATGTTTTATGTTATAAGTAAATTGCAACAGATAATAAAATCCCATTTCTGGTGAGTAATCTTCTTATTGATGAGTTTTAATAACTAAGTTTATTATGTAAATTTGAATACTTTCTTTGAATCTTTAAAATCGAAGACAACAGTTTATTTCTCCCATTTGGATTAGTAGTATCCTTGCTACYTATTTGTGTATGAGAGTAATAAAGTAGTTTGGTATTAGTGTACCTCAGAAACCAGAAATTTCTACAGTGGCTTTTTTCAAAAACCTTTATTTATTTAAAACCTTTATTTATTTATTTACTTTTATGTGGTGCTGAGGATCGAACGCAGTGCCTCACACATGCTAGGCAAGTGCTATACCACTGAGCCACAACCCAGCCCCTCTTACAATGACTTTTTAAAATCACATTACAAATGTAAAAGGGTTAAAGGAAGTCACTTGTATAACCAGACATTTATTTTTTTAAATATCAGAGACTTAAATAAAAACTTGAGTCACGTTCGTATGAATGCCACAAAAAGAAAAAAGTCAAATCATTTGGAATGGGAGGAATCTTATAAAATATTTATCTTCATAACAATTGCCATGTAAATTATGCACATTACAGACTATGAAATTTGTGATGTTAGGTGTGTTTCTTGAATGATAAGGTGAAAATAACTGTAACAGCAGATGTCATATAGATGACTCCCAAGAACAGAATGTCTGCCTTTATTTAGTTGTATTATAGAAGCAGTCTCTGGCACTTTGCCTYTAACTTTATCACAAACAAAAATCACCTATTTTTCATAAATATTATTTCCATAATTTTAGAGCAATCTGATAAAGGCAGACAATAGTTATTTATTAAAACAATTTAAGTCCTAAGCAAAGAAATATATATATATATGTATAGTCTAGTGATTCTTGAATAATGCTGATTTAGGCAAATTGCACACACAAAACATGGTAAGTGTATAATAAACACTTTTTGCATGGATGAAGAAATAACAGTGTGTCCCAAATTCAGGCATGTTTTCCCTATTCCTCAATGTATTTTAGATCTAAGTGTAGTAACAGTACATGATTGTTAAACTGGTATTAATATCCTTTTGATAAAAAAGCAAGATTATTTAATGAAGAAAAATATCTTTCCTAGAACTGTATTGCATTTTTCTACTTGATTTTTTAATAATATACCTAGCTAACTGCATTTTTAAGCTCATATGATTAAATAGAAAAAATCACCAAAATTGCCCATCTATGTCTAGTTCCTCTAGAAATCTGAAGTATAAATAAGTTAATTCAAGTAGGGATTGCAAAGAGAGATAGTGAGATGAAAATATATGATAGGCTGCCACATAAGAAGAGAGTAAACTGGTTCTGTATTTTCAAATCTATCATAGTTGGTAGCATTCAACTCCATACAGGGAAAAACTTCCTGGAAATTAAACTGTCCAATCATGGAAAGACTTTTTATAAACTTTCTAATCAGAGTCTGAACAGCCATTTTGTCAGGAACATTGCATTGGAAGAGGGATTAAACAGATGGAATTGTATAGTTGCCATCAGCTTTAAAATTCAGTGATTCTAAATTAGCTCTTCCCATTCTGTCTTTGTTGATACCACTTGGAAAGCCAGTTGTTAGTCTTCCTTTTCTTCTTAATTTCTTTTTGCTTTATATTATTCACAAAATAAAAAATATTTTATAAATCTACCAAGTGTGTATTATATTGAATGATTTCTTACACATTTCCTGTGACAATTCAGTTTAATTAATTTTTTGAAGGCCTTCTATGTGCCAGACATCATACTTAAGCATTGAGTATACAAAGATGAGTAAAACCGATACTCTGCCTTCAGGTTATTTATATCTAGCAGGATATGTAGATACATCTAGAAAAATTATTACATAATAGAAAAAGGTTAAAAGAGAAATGTACATACTCTTTATGTAATAATTCAAGAAGTCACACATAAACAAGCTAGTAATTCTGTTAAGGATTCATGGCAAGCTGATGAAAAGAAGGCTCATTTATAAGTTTTATTAGCAGTCATAAGAACAGCTACAATTTTTGAGTACCAAAAATTGTGTTGCTTTTAATTCATCAAGCATTATGATATGTACTTTTTATTTCATTTATTTCTATCAAATCTATAAGGATAATAATATTACCACTTTRCAGATAAGGAAATTAAGGATGGGAAATCACTGGGAGAATACTTGGCCTAATTTCACACATAAAAGAGGGCCAGAGGACATTGACCTGTGGCAGGAGATTTAAAGAAATGTGTGTGGATTTTTTTTTCCCCAGAGCTATAAGGAAGTTTTTTTTTTTTAATATAAAATAAAACAGATCCCTGGAGACCAAAAAATAAGAGAACGCATTTCTTGTAAAACATTTCTAATTTACTTTACCATTTATATTTTGTTCCAGTGACTAGCTTTTTTGGTTTGTTTGTTTGTTTGTTGTTTTCTCAGAAAGCTYTTGCAAATACTGCTGCTGCCATCACTGTGTTTGCTCCACAGGTTAAGGGAAATAGCTATCCTTTTAACCAGTGACTCAAATGCAGATTGAAACCATCCCACTATCCCATAGCCCACAAATTGAAATGTTTAAATAAGATTTCCTTGAAGTACAATCTAATACAAATAAGAATAGTATGCAATTAAGTAATTTAATTTATTAAGTATGTCTTTCCTGCTGAAGTTATGGACCTTCTCTTATTATTTCCTTGTCATCTTAGCACCTTCTAAGTAAAAAAATCAAGGAAGATGAGAACATGAGTATAGAAATGTGTGTTCTAAATTTTCAAGAAATCTAGTAGGCTGGAGAATATGGTTAGGAATAGAGAATGAAAATGAAAATTACAGGAAATGAAGGCAGAAAGATAGGCTGAACTCTGAATAACCATATAGAGCCATGCTGAGAGGTTTAGACCTATTTGATAGGTAGTCTGGGTCATCATAGCTTTTCAGTGACATGAATTTAATACTGAGTTTTAGAAAGATAATTCTTGAGGGAATGTAAAATAGATTGGGAAAGGAAGAAAATAAATCAGAGAAATTGATTAAGATAGTGCAGTAGTTTCAGTACATGACAAAGATTACTGATAGCTCTTGAGATAGTAATTTTTTTCCTATTTCATAGGTAGAATCAGTAAACTTTGGTTACTGACTAAATATGGGAATTGAGTGAAAAAAAGCAATATCAGAGTGCTCCTGAAAACTCTTAGCTTAGACAGTTGTGTGGAAGATGACACCACAGAATAAAGGAAGGCAATGTAAAGAACTTTGTCATCAGAAAGTAAAAATGAGTTTACTTTTAGATATGTTAAGCATGAGGTAGTAGTATCCACAGGCAAACAGCCTTTATGAAGTTCAACATTTGGATTATCTAGGAGCCTAGCAAGATAGAATGATAAAATACAAAGATTTGGAATTCCTAATATAAAAAAGTTGATGAACAAATGATAGCAGATAAGATTACCCATAAATGTATGTTTATATAAGAAAATACTGTAGCTAGAATTTGGGGAAAAGCAACATGTAAAGAGTTAGCAAAATAAAAAGAGCCAGCAGAAGAAATTGAAAAATATTACTCCAAAGAATAGGAGGAATAAGYGTAATAGTATCAGAAAGCCAAATGTGAAAGTCATTGATAGTATCAAAATATAATAACATGACAATGATAAAATTAACCTTTTGGTCCCTGTGGCAGCTAAACTAAGGTAATATGATACATGTGTTAAAACAGTACAATGGGCTTCATATTTAAATCCATGTAATAAGTATTAAATAAAGTTTATTGAGTCATATAATTCATGCATGTATATTTTGAGTATAGTTTTCTGTGTTTTGTATATTTGTAAATATTAGTGCATTTCCATGTTAGATATGTTGTTCTGTGAACAAAAATTTATATTCAACTTCCTTGAGTTGAGTTTTTCTGATTTTTTTTCAGACTTTATRTAATTGTTTTGGGTCTGACAATTTCAAACCTGTTGAATAAATATTTTCTTTAAGAACAGAATGTTGAATTTATGAAAGGTTTTATTTGAAAAAGCTCACCAAGGTAGAGATAGTAGGAAATTAATAAAGTTTGAGTACTGTAATTGCAACCATACCCTAATCACTTAATATGCTCCAATGATCTTCCATATTCATATCGTTTTTAAAAGAYACAAACCAAAGTAATTGTTAAACTAGAAGCAAAAATACAAGAGTGGACTCTACAAAGAATGAATTACACAGGCCTTATCCAATCAGAAGTTATATAGGGAAATCATTAACCTGCTCTCCTTTCTTTCCCCCCTCCTCTTTGGTTTTGTTTTTTTGTTTTGTGGTAGTCTGACCCTTGGTTATCATTACAGAACTATGGAGGTGCAATGAGACCCCCACTGAATGCTTTAGGTGGTCCTGGAATGCCTGGAATGAACATGTAAGCAAAATGCTATACTTTTATGTTTAGCAAAGTATTCTATTTTTCTGTCTTCTAACTTGACACTGGTTTCTAAAGCAATTTGAGCACTTCAGTCTTGGTGTAGTACCAAAATGAAGTAAACATGATCTGCAGTGTGCTTCAGTTTTCACAACATAATCTCTTTTATTTTTCCTTGCCTTGAAACTATTAGTTTTTACCCCCCTCCATTTTCAGATGCCGTAAATAACAACCTTTAACCTGTTTCTTTTTGCAATTTCCTTGTAGAATCTATACAAAAGTATAAAGAGCTGCCAACACTAGGATTATGACTTTACAAAAGTAGATAACGGAATATCACTTACCTCATTTTAATGATAGTGATTACTAAGAGTGAAGTTTTTAAATTTTACAAATATTTATGTGTCTTTACTTTTGCTTTGTTGGGACTACTCTAAGCACAAGAAGCATTCCCTCTGGTAATATTTTCTATATTAAAGAACTTTCCAGGGCATAGAATGAATTTTCTTTTGAAAAATCAAGATGCACTTCAGTCGAGAGTACACTAAAGGTCTTTTTTTTTTTTTAACTGGAAAGACTTTTCTAACTGAACAAAGGAATATATTTCTAACAGCCAAATGTAATGCAGTTTGTTACTTAATTTTTATTTATCTTTCATTGTCCACCTTGCACCCAAAGTTCTATATACGTCAGGTACTTACTAGTGACTTTCTTTAATTCATCTAAGGATTAATTCCATGATGTGGCCTGAATAAAGTGTTTAAATTAGAAATAATTGGAATGTTCTATGTAGTCGGTAAGTGTCTCCTCAAATATATTGTCCATCATTCCATGTTTTAGTTACTTACATATCAAATTGAACAATTTTGCCATAACTTAATGGTATTGAAGATAGATAGACTGTGAAACATGCACTTTTGATGTATGTAGAGTTCTTTTATATTTCTGAAACCATTTACAGAAATGTGATTTTGCTAAAATTGAAAATAGATTAATAGGTGGATACTACCCAGACTTAAAATTAACAGAACAGGGTGCAGGGAGGAGGTCATATTTTCCCATCATATCTTTTCACTTTTAAAATAAAAATGAATAGATAGGAAGTCTGACTCTTCTTGAGTTCCTTAAAGACTTTTATTAATGGTCACTCCGAAAGGGAGTGAATGATATTTGTGCTTATCTCAAAAGCTTAAATAGAAGAATGGAGAAATATATAAAAGTTGCCTACCTGAGATTCTCAATTTAAAATGCAATAGATTTTAAGGAGTATTATTTTGAATACTCTTATAAACCATGAATTATCTACTATTATTTTGTACACTGCCAACTTTAGTTTAACCTGTTTTGGATAGTAAGAGAAAAAATTTCATGTGACCATTGAGATACTCAAATAGCTGCTTAAGATTATCTAGTTCCTTTCACATAGGTATATTTAAGTGTATACTTTAGAGTGGCACATTTAAGTGCTTAGACTATAAGGACTAACTATATGGATAGGACTTTAATTTTATAATTTATGTTGATATTTGGGTTTGGGTTTCTTATTTAAGTATTCTAGATACTTTAAAATATTTTCTGTTATGTAGTATTTTACTATTAATGTAATTTCTAGTTCTTAAAGAATTTCAAATTTTTGGCTGGACATGGTGGTGCATGTCTGTAAACCCCAACTACTCCAAGAGGCCAAGGCAGGAGGATTGCAAGATCAAAGCCAGCCTCTGCCTTGTTAAAATAAGAAGAAAAAGGGCTGAGAATGTAGCTCAGTGGTAGAGTGACCCTGGGTTTTGTTCCCCAATAACACCCCCCMCACACATACATACATACACACACCCACACACACACACACACAAAACTTTCTAAGTGTTACAGATTTCAATTTCTATTATTTGTTACTATTTATTTTCCTTTTTTTAAAAATTTCTAGTTGTAGATAGACACAATACATTCATTCATTCATTCATTCATTCATTCATTCATTTATATGTGATGCTGAGGATCTGTGTGCTAGGCAACTCTAGACTGAGCTACAGCCCCAGCTCTGTTACTATTTCTTTTTGGAGTTTTATTCTATTTTCCATTTTCTACAAATTTAGATTTCTTCAAAGACAACGAAAATGTAAATACTTATATACTTCTAAATGTTTTCTTCTGACAGAGAAACTTCTCCAGTATGGAAATTGGAGAGAATAATTATTTTATTGATATGGTCCCAACAAAGTAAAATAAGTTTAAAGAGACATAAAAATACATTTTACCTCCATTGYACTTATAAGAGTAAGATTAATTGAAATTCACTTCAAGAATTTACTTTGTTTTAAAGATAATAAATATCTTTAAAACAAAGTAAGTCTGAGTAATGGCAAACAAGTTTTCCTAACTGATATTTGTAGCTATCTTCTGGTCATCTTTTTTAAATGTTGGGTTACTTAAAAATGAAAGAAAAAACTGGTGTTTTTTTAACTGTATCTTCAAACTACTTAACTACTTAAAATATCTGTGACTTGGGAAGGAGAAACCTGCCAGAAAATCATATCTGGATGATTTTTCTTTAGCTTGTCATTCTTTCTTAATTGACATGAGAATATAATAAAAATGAAAAATACCCAAATTTGGCCACTAAAAAAATTAAATAATGTACTCTGACAACCGTATCCCTTTATTATAGAATACTCCATTTAGAATAAAATTTTGATAACTTTGTTGTTTAAAAAAATTGGCTACCTCCAAAAAAAATAATTACATTGATAGATTTACATTTCCATGCTCTTAACTCAGGATAAATTGTACAAAGTGCCATTTAAAATTAAAAGCTTATTTTCAGTGTTTATACAAGCAGTGTTACAGGTATAGAAGTAAAAACCAAATATTAATTTAAGTAACTTAAGGTCGAATTTACAAACTATGACCAACTGTTTTCAAACGCATTGTAGATTATTTTTTTAAAGGAAACTTAGTGGTACATTTCTAAATAAAAACTATATTTTCACAGATTTCCAAAAAATTTAAGATTCAGTATTAAAATACCTCTAACAGACCAGCCTGATTCTATATAACTACACTTATACAGAAAATTTCATTCAAAATAATGTCTTCTATAATTTATAGCTTACTTTCTTGATGATACTGATGACTTCCAAAAGGAGTGGGAATCACTGAGTTTAAGTAATTTTTCTATTAGAACTACTCATTGTACCCCCACTGTATGTGTTTGTGAAATTTACATTTTTTATATGAATTATCAATGCATAATCTTTTATAATATTAAAATGAAGTTTAATATAAATACATAATATGCTGGAAATAGATAAGTATTTATCAAACACTTAAAATGAACAAAAGATATTTTATATTATTTATAACAGTATGTTTATAATTTAACATTTGCATGTTATTTTAATATTAGATTTTAAAAGAACATAAAATATGTTTAACATGTCTTATTTATATAGCATTATTTAGATATAATATTTAAAAATTATGAGGTCATTATATATAATCATATAAATTTTTCCATGATTTGGATATGATTTATTTTAATGTTATGTAAAGGTAGATATTTCCCAGTTTTTTAACTACATTTTTATTTAACATTAAACAAGTCATTTGGCTAGGTCTTACTACCCAAATGTTTTACTTGATCAGTACACATAGTACATTTTACCTTATTTTCTTCCCATTAGGACCAGGAATCTTATATGTAGAATCATCTTTYTAAAGTCAGTAATTAATTGTAAATTTCTCCTCCTCTTCATCATCATCATCTCATCATCATCTTATAAAGGCAACAACTTCCTGAGATAGTGCAAGTGCTCCTCATCTTTTTTACCTATCGACAAGACTTTAATCAAGTTTCCTTTTAGTATCTTACCTTACTCTTCTATTCTTCAAATCAAACTGAGAAAAACATGTAGACCCTAACAATGTGATGTTCTTAGGGTCTACATTCACTCTTTCCTGCCCTTATACCCCAGATAATCCCAAAACAAAACTAAAAACAGATCTAAATATTCCAGCCAAATATGAGTAATAAATACTATAACTAATTTGGACAGCATCTCTATTTAATGCCTAGTACTTTACGTTTAAGGTCTATAGAATCAGGGAACCTTTTTTTTTTTTTTTTT